TTATAACATTTTTTCTTTTCCCATTTAGATTAGTGTCCCATCGTTGTGAAACTTAAATGACAAACTCTTACTATTATTAGTTCATGTGCAAAAATTGTTCGTCCGCATGCCTAGTTTCCAGGTTTTATTTGACAATGTTTGACAAAGATACGCCAGGGTGATCAGATTTGTTTTGTCTACACAGAGATCACAGTTTTGCTCTCTATACAAAACTCAAAATGTTTAAATCTACAAATAGAAACTAAAATTTGTTTCATACATTTTTTTTTTTGATTAATTACTTGAAGAAGAACAACTTCAACAACAACTATTTGTTGATGTTAATCCCAATTCCTTGCTCTGAACTTTAAAACTAAAATCATAAATAAGTAGCTTAATGAAGCTTCCTCTATTACTATTGATTCTTAGACATGCTAAGCTAAATTCTTAGATCAGAAGGTCAATGCTTGAAATGAAAAAAACTCTGAATGAGCATCACACTATACAAAGCAATTTTAATAATTAAACAAACACTACTCAAGTATTAATTTCTCACTTTAATTTCTAATCAACCTCGAAATTGAAATGAACCATCATGTCATTAATTAAATTGAGAAAGTTCTCTTTATGGATCATTTGGCTCCTCTCCTTTTCTTATAATGAAGAAAAAAATTAAAACTATTTTTTTCCAATTAGCTTACAAAGTGTTCTTTTAGTCTTCATGGATGTTGAAGTGGATAAGATGATGATATGAGAATATCTTCTTGAATAAGGGTCATCAAGGCCTTCAATATCCATTTACCCTTGCTTACCAAAATTGAAATTTATCTTTATATATATTGATAAGTCAAATTGGACCTCAGTACTTGATACGCCACTAACAAATTTTCATCATCCGACACGCTTGATACGCCACCAACAAATTTTCATCATTCGACACGAATCTCAATGCAATTTTTTGAAATATTCAAACTTCGATTAAGAGTCATCTAGAGCTCCGATTTTAACAAACTTACAGTCAAACTGATCGGCTCGATGAGACAGACCTAATGATATGAAAGTCAGTCCAATTCGAGTCAAATCAAACCCGGATCAAATCATTAAATTACTCTTGGAGGATTTCCGGAGGCGTTTGAAAGGTCAAACGGATGTCGAATATAGCAAATTTATAGTCGAATCGAGCGTCTCGACAAGAAGAATCCAACGAGTCCAAGATTGCTGAATTCTGACATCGGAATTCTGACATCGTTAAGATCAAACGTCATCTGATCAAGGGAAGCTCTCCGAGCCGTCCAATCAAAATAGTTCAGCCGTCCAATCAAACGTCCAATCAAAATAGTTCATATTCCTGCATTAATTGCACTCAAAACACTATAAATAGAGTCTCAACCCTCATATGAGGGAGGAGGCTTAATAGAGAACTTGAGGCTTTGAGAAGGAGCTCAACTCCAATATCATCCCAGCCATCGTTGATTGCCGTTGACCACCACTGACCGTCAACCACCACTGCCGGCCATCGTTGATCGCCGCCGATCACTGCTGACTTCTTTCGACCTCCACTCCTTTACGGGGTTTTCACGTAAAAACTTATGGTGTCATTACAGCTTGAATCATTTTCATCTGAGTATGTGTTGAATCCTCGCGCAACGCTAAGACGATAATCCATTACTCTACCACCGCGAATTTTCTAGCACGCATCAGTACTTATACATTGTACTCACTCTAGATAACCCAAAATCCTAGCATGAAATGTCCCTCCTTTCTTAAGGTCGTGATTATATTTAATGAGTATTATACTGCTGAGCTCTTGATAAAAAGTTATCGAAGGCATTGGCCCTGTTCTTGATAAGGATATATTCTCGTATAGGAGTCACTAGAAAACATACCACACAATCTTATATGTATATATTCAGATTATTTACAGTTTATATGGATAATTTACTATTCTACTATTGTTTTAGTTCATTAAATACTTGGAATGATATATTAAATATTATGATAATAGATGTCTTAATGTAAATACAAAAGAAATAATCTATTTTTTTCTGATGCTACAGGTTTCCGAAAGCTTACCAATGGACTTATTTGCCGACGTCTAACCGACAACTTAAGTGTGTCATACGAAAACGACAGTCGTGACATTTTTCCGACAGTTTATCTATTGGTTATCAAAACCGACGCATCAACGACACTGAACCGATAGTATGTCTACATAAGAAAGATGATAGGAACGACACTTTTCTGACAGTTCATCTGTCGGTTATAAAAACCGACGCATCAACGACACATAAAAATGGTTCGCATGAGTCAAAAAATCGACAAGTACAATACTTTTTTGACATGTAAGTCGTCGTTATTACTGACAAATTAACCGACAGATATATGAACTGATGAAAATTAACAATTTGAAATTTCTAAAAAAAAAACTATGACATTAAATTATCGATTATGTGACCTTAATTGTATGCTATCAGAATATTAGTCTGATTTAAAATTACCAATGAGCATTTTATCTACGAGCTTAAAACCATCTGAAACATTAAAAATGACAATTTTTTTCATCAAAACCGACAGAATTTTGCCATCTGAAACGACCATTATTCCTATAGTGAATCACGATATTCGTTGTAGAATCCCAAAATATGCTGCAGAGTAACAAAATACCGTAAAGAGTAACACCCCGTCTTGCGGAGTAACAAAGCATCTTACATAGCAACATATCCTAAAGATGGTAAAACAACCACTTAAAGATTGTGCAACGCGCACCGCACATACATTATACCAATACATCCCAAAGACGGTGTAAGAACATCTTTTGAAGGTGATGTAACAACACACCACACAATAATTGCTTACAACCATCATACTCAGAATACAATGACTTTCTTTGAACTCCTGAGGCTCTCTCTTTGAAAAACACCACTATGATTTACATAAGTAGCAACGACCAAAGTGGTTCACAGGTCATACAACTCCAAACTCTGGCCATTGTGGCCTTATAAACATTGTCGTTGCTTGAGAAACTCCCCCAATTCTGGTCTCTGTGGCTTACAAATGTTATCATAGCTCATGTAGCTCCCAACTTCGGTCTCTACTGCCTAAAAATGTTATCATAGCTCATGCGACTCTCAACATCGATGTCTGCTACTTATGAAAGCTATCTCAGCTCATGCGGCTTCCAATTTCGTCCTATACAACTTACGTACTTTTTTACAACTCATGTAACTCACACTCGGTCTCTCTAGCCTACGGATATTACACATCTCATGCAACTCCCAAACCTGACCTCTGCAGCCTAAGAACGTTATCATAGTTTTTGCAACTACCAACTCCGATCTATGTGGCCTCAAGAAGTTATCGTAGCTCTCCACTATAGTCTATGTGACCAACTAAGATCTACAAGGCTCACAATTCTTTCATCTCCCTACCATGCGCTCTGTTGCCAAATGAAGCTTTTGAAGTAACAATTTACATACATAGCCAACTACTACCAAACTTATGACATCTATATCAAGCTGGCGCTACAACTATCATCTGCAACATTCACAACATATTGTTGCCTCCATAGCAATTGACTACGATCTTTGTGGTCCATTGCGGTTATTATTGTTGAAATATCATTGTATATCAAGTTTGTAATTCTATATTCCCAACTTAGGAGAACAATGGATTTATGTACTTACCATTGCATAATGAATTACTTCAACAAAGCTAAGTTCCGTGTAATTTTTTTCTATTTCCATGACTTTTTACGTAAAAAGTCAAACTGTCTTCTCTTACTATCATTTTATTGCCTAAATATGTTTGATTTTCGTGCAACACGAACACGTTGAATGTGCAATTGATATCCATGAATGCACCTACCTGCATCAAGTTTGCGTATAATTCTTTCAAATAAAAAATTAATTTGAAAGTTGTTTGGATCATTTTGATCACTTAAGTTTAAAAAATCAGTATTTATCTAAATTAAATTCGATTTTAATGTAAATGAAAACTTGGTTGGAAAATCTGGAATGCATCAGCTAAGCGGAAGGTCAAATATGACGAAGGGTGCGTGTCGAGGGCGCCTCAAATCCCCCAATGATTGACTCCACTTATTTTTTACATATTAAGGAAAAAAAACCCTAAATCAACCTCTTACTTCACCTCTTTCTCCGGCGAACTCCGGCTCCATATGAACTTTCCCATCTCCTCAACCAGCTTCGCGCCATCAGCCATCCCCGGAAAGATATAGAAAGCATGAATCGATTCCGGGAACTCCAACACCCTCACCTCCTTCCCCCTCGCCCTCAGTTCCTCTCCGTACCGCCGCTGCCAATCTTGCAGCGGATCAAAACCACCAACAACCAGAATTGCCGGCGGAAATCCCTCCTCCATCACTCCCAAGTCATTTGGCCCAAAAACATTAGCCGCCTCATGGTTCCGATCAGCACCCACCGGCAAAAACGCCCTCCATCGCCAATCAGTCCTCGTCATCGACACCAGCGGCGCCCCAGCGAGCTTAATCTCCGACTTCGTCCGCTCCTCTCCCCCGAAAAATGGCTGGATCAAAATCAGCCCCGACAACTTCACTTTGTTCCACCCACCGCTGCCTGCCCACCGGCGGGCGACGTGGTGAGAGATGTTAGCCCCGGCACTGTCGCCGGCCAGGAAGCAAAATGAGGTATCAGCAATATGGCCGGCGACGGCGTCAATTCCACCTGAATCAATGAATCGGAGAGCGTCGATTCCGTCTTCGTAAGGCGCGGGGAAGCGATTTTCAGGGGAGAGGCGGTAGTTGACAGAGACAATGACGGCGGGGATCTTGCGGGCTAGTCGACGACAGACGACGTCGTAGACTTGGTTGTCAGGACTTAGGAAAGCGAATCCGCCCCCGTGGAAGAAGACTACAATAGGGAGTTTCCGGTGGCCG